GTTTTAGATACTAGTTTAACATATTGGGGTGTATGTTAACTCACACACCCGTGCCGATTTTGCGACTCCATAAATATGGTATGGCACAAGGGCCGTGCCCATATATTTTGACGTCACGTCATTAGCGTTACTGCTAACATAGTGTAAAGACGCGCTAAATGTTAGCGTTATACTATAGGCGCGTCCAATGAAAAATGACTCTTATTTCACGTTAACGGTCTCTGCTATTTTGGGGTATGTGATAAAGTAGAGGATATTGAATAAGTGTAAGTTCATTAACTGAAATTTATTGCACTCGCCAGAGGCTTCGCATAATTATAGATTTTATTCAACTCGTGCAATAAATTCAGTATTGAACTTACACTTATTCAATATCCTCTATGTATGGGTTTGTTTAAAATTAATTATAATGTATACATTAATTAATAAAATTATTCTTGTTTTTTTTTTCTATTTTCAATCTATGCATCATGCACCCTTATTAATATGTTTTTTATAGAACAATCCATGTTTTTTAGATCTAGTTTAACCATATTGGGGTGTATGTTAACTATGAAGTGCTTAAATGGTAATTTTAACTTATAAATTGAATCAAAAAATACTTAAAGTTTGTATTTTCTTTATATAAACTATGCATTCATTTAACTTATAAAATGTCTTGAATAAATTAAATCCCAGTTTTGGACACTAGTTCAACATATTGAAGTGTATGTTAACGTATGTATCGCTGAAACATGTAATTATATAGCATTAACTCGTATATTGAATTTAATCTATCGATTTAAACAAATCAAAATGTTTTTGTAGATTACACAACAAGAGTCAATCATTAACTAACGTATTACTAAGCACATTGGTCATAAATATATTTTGGAACCTTATTTTTTTTTACCTATGAACAGATTTGTGATAAAATTTTTAATAGCATAGATGAGATGAGATGAAGATGAGATCTGTTTGATAGTGACACTAACTTAAGCTTTATTGCTTTATCTTCTATTTTTTTATTTTATTTATTTCATTTTTTTTTATAAACTTTACATGTTAACATTTAATTACATCAAATTTTTATTTAACGTGTACAAAGCTATAAATAATGCTGCATGTAATATAAAAAAGTATAGAATGCATTTTGAAATAAAATATTACAAAATACCTGACAAAAAAGGTAGACCAAATGTTGTTTATTGGGCTATAAGCGAATTGCACATGCACGCGTATCAAAATTGTCGTATATTTTGTTTGTAAATTGTTAAGTCAGAATTTAAATTGTCGCTCTTTCAGTTTTCGTTGCTTTCACGGTCTGTCGTTCCTCCTTTGGTTGGACAGTTTGGTGTTTTTTTGTTGTCGCAACTTTGTGTCATCTATTGTTATAGAACGTTTGCTACAATTGTTTTTTCTATATGAGAAAGCGTATTTGAAGTTTTAACTGATTATCTTTTGATTATATCATAATCTATTCTTAGACAATAAAGATGTCTGGCCTCTGCCAGACATTAACAATCAAATTTCTATGTTTCCTAATATTTTAACTCTACTGAGGATGACCAAAATTAACAAGGAGGAACATGTACCGTGAGTAAAAGTAAAACATAAATACATTTCAAAACTTTTCATGAAAATAACATGAATATTGAGGCGTGCTGCTTAAAATCCCTAATAATTGTATATTTAGTTTAAATTCCAGCCCATATACTTATCATATATTTCAATAAAACTTACATATATGCCGTTTTGAAGAAAAGTAAATATTTATACGTCAAATATATACACAAATTAAAAAATGTGTTAGAAAAAAATCGCACATCCTTCAAATCACCATTGCAATTGCATTCTATTTCCAAATATTTCGGGCATTATCACAGGTGACACGAGTCATCTATTAAACATATATTACTGGTACTTATTATATATTTTCATCATATTTTTCTTTTTCAACAATATAAACCGCTTCATCTTCAATATACAAAACACACTATGTGAAAATTTTTTTAACTATCGGCCGGGTTTATTTTATTTACCAACTATTTCAACAAATTCAAGGCGTGGAACTCCAGCTCTGTCGTATTTAAATGAGGTGCGCTATGAATGTGAGAACCTGCATTATCCCGAATGACTCCGATTATAGCAAGGCTGGTTCAAAGCGCATTTATATACAGCATATATCTGAAGAGTCATTTTGTTTTCAAAAAAGAGTATATTTACTTTCTAATTGATATATAATAACAACTATATGTGTTAGGATTAACAAATGTATATTTCCATTTGTATTTTTAGGTGTTTGGTGCTCAACTCCTAAGTGTCGGTGACTTTAACGTTAAAAAAAAGGCCTAAATGATATCAGGCCCACCGCACTGCGTTGCAATCGAATCCACCGCCGTCTGCGTTGTAATCATTTTTTGTCAATTCTTTTATTAAAATGGTAATATCAATTTCCAAAAGTTCCAAAATATGGTTGTTTTGTGTAATTATCATACATACGATGCGATGCCAGTGTATCTAGGGGTAGTTTTGAGTACATATGTAGTGTTATAAACAAAATTAGGCAAAAGTGGCGTCCCCTCGTCAAACTGTACAGAAGTGTTTGCATAACTGGTCATGATTTGCACCCCATGCGTGTAATTAGTTGGAAGAGTACATATGTGGGCTCCAGTCTCACTATGTGTTATCAGTAGAACATAAAAACATAACTAACAAATAAGTCATAAACTTACCGACACCAGCAAAAAACTATCCGACAGCCATGTTTTTCCACCGCTTCTGCGACGAAATCTCCATCGCCGCACCGGTAGACCCACCGCTTCTGCGAAAGCTATGGCCAGTGTGATAATGTAATCTTTAGGCTAGAAAGGATAATTGATACTAAACTCTCAATAAATAAGTATTTTTCTTTTGTTTCCCATTTTCATTTGTAACCCTGCTTGACAAAAGATTAAAGGTATTATGGTATTGTCGCTCTCAGAATTTGGTTTAAGTAATTTCATTTATTTTCTCAGACACTACCGGTGGTTTATTTGTTTACTATGATCATACTGGGACATACGATAAGGGGACGGGAAACACGGAGATTATCGCTCCTGTGTGTTATCGTATATCTCAGGATCAAATGATGCAATATCAAAGGGCAGATAATCCTAGATATAGTTTGCAAAGTTATTCCCCTTATTTCTCTAAGATGTTTTCGCTCTGATTAACCTTTTGGTTACGGCTAATTTCAAACATATTCACTTTAAACTTAAATACTTATTTCATATAAAAGTACTAATGTTTCAAAAGGACAGATGATCCTGACAGGTATTTTTCCTAAATTATCTCCCTTTTTATATTTTCCCCCAAAAATACATATTTAATATTCACTTCAAACGTGAAGGCGAATTTTTTTTTATTTTATCAGAAACGGCAAATACGTGAAAAACATAGTATGAAATGCACGGTCAATACGAAAATCGAAAACAAAAAATATCATGTAGTACTCCTTGATCATGTAGTATTCGATCCGCAGTCGGTCGTTAGATATGACCGAATTTTACGATTAACACATATACCGGAATTTTTGTTAGCAGCCAGCCCGCTAGAGCGCGAGACTTGTAATCTCGACCTTGTGGGTTCGATTCCCGGATTGGCCAACTTAAATTACAGTCTTTCGGATAACACTTTTAATCGAGGTCCCATGTATGGGTGCTTAAACAACTTGGCATGTTAAAGAACCAGGGGATGCTTCTGGAATTGGGGCATCTTTCTGTACCTGTAATTGCACTATCTCCAAAATCTTAAATGACTAATACACTTCTAGAGGACTCGCCCATATGGGCAACCGGTGAAGAGTATAAATAAACGCAAATACACACACAGTAAGCAGATGTCAAAGTCAGAATGAGTTCACAAGATTTAGTACATTTTACGATTTGTCAAACACTATTTACGCTTTGACATTGTGGTAAGTGATATTTTACTCGCCAAGTCGCTTTATCTTATGAAAGATTCTCAGTAAATACCATATAATAAGAATACAAATAATGGGTTAAGCTGATATTAACCTATAGCTCTTCAGCGCTTCTTATGTAAAATTCTTCCAAGTATAATTTCCAATAACCGTAAATTATACCATACCCAGCCTTTGTATAATTTTCCCTTTTGAAGATCGAAGGAGTAAGTGTTTCTTGGCGGAGCTATAGGTTAAAACAGATACACCATTGGTGCGTTGACGATTTCTGGGTTTGCGTAAATTATACTATAATCACGTGACCTTTCTTTTGCAACCTCACTCGACTTCGTCTCGTGAGGTTAAGGCATAAGAAAGGTCACGTGATTATGGTATAATTTACGCAAACCCAGAAATCGTCAACGCAGCAATGGTATATCTATTACTTGGCCTTGCTACATGGCTGAAGACAGCTAGCCGTATTGGCCAGAGAATTAAGGCTTTTTATATCATTGCTCTGCTGTAATGAAAATCTTAATCTGTAAGCTTCATTTTAAATATTTCAATGAAATTAAATCTGACATCTTTCGAAAAACACAAGACATGAATAATACATATGTAACGAAGATATTAGTTAGATATCTGTAACCAGTTTTATCCTCTAATTTTTATTCACGAGTTTGATTTGAACTTTTTTCTTATCATGTCCGAATGCCCATGTCGAGTACGTCATTGTGAAGTTCAAATGACCATAAATACAAAACATACGCACAATAGAGTATCTATTTTAAGATAATTTTAAGAACTTTATTTTTCAAAACAAAAACATAAGACAGATGTGTAAAGAAAACATCTTTTTAATTTATTGCAACAATAATATGAATAACCACTGCCTTTCTGGTGTTAAAATGGAAATAACAAAACGCATACGAGAAGCAAATTTGATCAAAGCGTGAACTGTTTGTGTGAACTTCACTCTACAAATTAAAATCTTTTTTAACTTTTGTGACCATGCCCCATTGATCCCTACCTCAATCAAAAGGAAGAATACCATGCAAGTTATCTACCTTCCAAATATGTGTAACGAACCCCTTCTTCGAGCGTTGGCCTGTTAACTCTAAAAGGGGTGTTACGTGAGTTCGCCTGGGCCCGGCTTGTGGCGAAAATAATAGAGAATGATTAAAGAATAAAATAACGGAGGCAATTTAAGATTTAAACTATAACTTTATTAACGGTTACATAAAATAGTCACATATAACAACATTCATCAATCAGACATAAATACAGTAACAATAAATATATTATAACGTTATTTAATCTGCATCAATAATACCAATTCACAATGCAAAACGTTATATACTGTGCACCACGGTTTTAAGAAATAAAATTCACTAATAATAATGTTCACAATTTCACTACACTCGCGAAATCACTAAATTACGCACTTTAATAAATAATCTTTATTTAGAGAATATACACGTAACACTAATCACTTTTCCGTTATTATTAACACTATTCGGGTATCACGATGCCAATATCATCAAATGTATATTATTGCCGTTTATCAATCATCTTTGACTCGATAACGTGTTCGCTACCAAATTATACCAATTGGTATTTGGTATTAATGTTTATAATTATAACACTGACGTTCAAATTAATTATCGGATTATTTAAAATACATGTATAAAGATTTGCATCATCACCACTACGAATTTAAGTTTTAGGTGGAGCTAGCACACAAAATCCAAGTAAAACCTCTGTTGGCATCAACTGGTATCGATACCAGATAAAATTATACCAATATTGGTATTCTATCAAATATTCACAAATATGTTCTTAATATAATTTAATATAATTCATATAGACTCTATATATGTTGGTATATACCATACACACTTTGTTTTAATAATTCATAAATATTTCACAAATATACCAACAAATATTATAGCACAACCGCGTATTGGTATTCGATACCAGTTGGTATTTGGTATCGCGCGATTAAAATACACAGGAGATGGAGACAAGGGAAACACTTTATTTAATAAAACTTGGTTGGTATAACTTTACCTCTTCATCGCACATTTTTTATAAATTGGTATATACCCGTTGGTATATTTTTATTTAACCCAGAGTGACCGTATGAATGCCGTCCATGTTCGACATTGTCTTGAATTTCGCGCCAGCTGCGCTTTTATATGACCTGTGACGTCATTGCTCGAGATTTAGTGGCGCGAGCTAATGGCGGTTCTGAACACGGAAGTAAATTAAAAATACACATTCTTTTGATGATTTCATGCAATATTTACTTTTATAAACACAATTTGCTGCACAAACAGTAAGTTCTTCAACTTTATTTCCCGTATATATGAATATTTAAGAGTTTAATACGGTTTAGTGGAAGTAATCAGCATATTACAGAGGACTCAACATTGCCGATTTTGAACACAAAATTTCCATGAATACTCCGATAAAATATCGCGGTGCACAGTAAAACATTAATCTGAAAATGAACATACATATCATAGATAGACAACAAAATGTGATTTATTATCTAAAATTAACAAATATCAACAATAGGATGATTTAGCACATTTAATAATCTGCTTTATAAAAATAGTGGGTGGGGTAACGAACATATGAAATGATAAACAAGGTTCAAGGCAATTTGGGATTATAAGAACCACTGAATATCAGTTCGTTACATTGCCCCCAACCACTTAAGTTTTGGTCTCCAAAATTTAATTAATAAGTAGAAAAATTTTTAAACAATAGAAACAATCTTAGAACAAAATATCATTTCCTCTAATTATGTAACAAGCACATCTTAATGATACCGATCAAATAATATAAATATTTCATATGACAATAACATTTACACAGTTAAAATGTACATTAAAACATAGATCTATATCAGAACTCTTAAACATATTAACTTTAACTCACAAAAGTAACAAGAAATGCTGTAAGTCCTGATTAAAGTAGTAAACATAGCAACATACATTTTAAGATTGTCTTTGGATTCTTAATCATATTCATTGCATAATGAGAAATAACTTAATACATAACAATGAATACTTACAATTATGCATAGCGTAGAACCTTATGTTTCATAAATCTATATATTTTATATTTAGATAATTTAAATGTCAAATATCATAAGAATAAAACAAACAAGACATAAAATCAACAAAGCAACAAATATTCATGATAGTGTCATTTAAGTGTCTCTTTTCACTTTATCACTCTGAATATTAAATTAGCACAACAGTTTTCTCCAAAACACACTTTAAGTTTAACTTATTCACTATGTATATCTTTATTTTATTTAAAGTCACATCACTTTTATACACACATTTTGATTTCACATAATTTGTCACTTGGTTCATCCCAGTTTATGGGCCTTTAAAGGCACCAGATTCGCAGAAACGACACTACACTGTTCGATTTTTCCTATAACCGCATTCACTAATTCCGGCAAACAATAGAAAGACGCCTCATAATATAGTTCGTACAAATATCTCACATCATGAGGGAGAGTCCTTAGGTCACATGATCCATTTCTAAGGAAGTTAAGAATAAACCTAAAGTGGGCAGGGTCACGATCTATAAAATACTGGTTACCGTATCTTGGGGTCATTCCCTCTGGACTTACGATTTTTGCCAGTAATGAATTTGGATCTTTCGTTAATGTAACACGTGAGGTTTCAAACTTTTGCCCACCAATATTTAGTATAATTCTTTCTTTTTGGGTCTCCTCCATTAATGGTATTATATTCACATTACAATAACCCACTGAGGTCTGTTCCTGATTGTTTATTTCATTTTGACACTCCCCTTGAACAACTTCTTCACATTCTTTATTTTCATTAAATGTCTTATTTTCACTGTTATTGTTTTTCACTTGATCAGCACCACTTTCAATATGATTAACATTTCCTAAATTTGTTTCCTCACTTTTCCCATCTTTTCCTTCTTTAACCATATTGTCATTATTATCAATTTCTTTGCTTGCTTGTTTTGTTTGTTTATTCTCATTTGTTTCACTTTCGTTAACTTTCTTATCTTTCATCACTTTATTATTTATGTCTCCAACATCTTCAACTGTGTTTTGTTTACTAATTTTACCTGTTATGTCAAACCTTTCATTACCGTTCCCTTTAATGTTGCTATCCTTCTTATCTTTATTTTGTTCATTATTTTGGTTTAAGTTTATCGTCTTTGTATTAATTTCTTTTTCACTTGATTTGAACTTTTTCACTGAATTTTCATTTGTCGTCTTCTTAGCCTTTTTCCTTTCATCTCTCCTGTTAACAACATGACCATCTTTCATTTCATTCCCCTCATCACCTTTATTACTAACTCTTTTACTCCTTTCTTCTCTTACCATTTCATTAACCTTAATTTTCTTCTCAACACATTTCTCTTTAACTGTATCACTATTTTTGTCTTTAACTTTTTCAACACTTTTCACATCGACACTATCTTTGTCTTTTGATTTACCAGTTCCTTTCTCATTTCCTATTTCCCCATCTTTGCCTATTACTTTTTCAACAACGTTAACTTTCAATTCCTTACCTTTTACACTTTTATTTTTCAATTTAGTTTTTATGTTAGTTGCTTTTGTCTCACTTTTTACTTTTGTTGTATCATTCACAGACATCTTTTCAATGACTTTCCTTTTATCAGTTTCAACCTTATTCCTGCTCATATTTATCTCTTGGCAAACTTCAACACAATCCTTTAACTCCTCTTTTCTTACTGTCTCTGTCTTATCTAAGTTTAAATCTTTGTGTTCATTACATACTTCAACTTGTGTCTTATTAACTTCTTGTTTGGATTCACTTATTTGCTTATCTACTTCTGTTTGTCTCTTGTTCATATCTTTATTTTCTTTTTTCTTTTTCTTTGTTTCAACAAGTGCACTGTCACTATCACTATCGCTATCCGAACTAGTGTCACTAAGGGAAGTGCAAAACCTTTTCCACGATCGCCTTCTTTTCCGTGAATTGGTTACCTTTTTCTTTGGCACTACCGAGCTCTCTGAAGAACTTGTTTCACTAGAGGAATCACTTGAACTTGAGCTTGAACTTGAGGATGATGTGTCCGATGTTTCAATATTATTGTTCATTTTATGTTTGTTCGTTTCTTTGGTTTGTTTTTGAGTTTTACTTTCAGCGTCGGTATCAACAAAATCAAGTTCCTCGTCACTTATTTCTTCAAGATCCATATTTTTTATTAGAACATTTCTTTTCGGACTTTGCACGGGAGAAATGGGGTTTTTAATCATTATTTTCAGGTCAGTGTCAATGTCCATACTTGTGATTTCACTGCTTTTTACACTTTCCGTTTTATTATATTCACAGGGGGTAGGCCCATATTCAGTTTGTAACCTTCTTAATTCTGTAAGGAAACCAGATTTTACTTTTTGTACCAAATTAGGCATTTTACTCTTTTTCCATTCGGTGAGTTTAGCCGCAGCTCCCTCTCGCTCTCCCTCTGGATCCATTAAAGCAAAATCTTGGAGTTGTAAGTTATAGCACTGATTATGATTGTAACACCTTCTTGAAAACAATTTTCGACACTTCAAACACTGATAATTAAAATGGCTGTGTTTTTCAATAACATGTCTGGATGCCAAATAGAACTTCGAAAACACCACATTGCGGCACACCACACACAACCACTAAAATGTAAAATAAAATCACTCATTTTAGGAACAATAATCTAAACAAGTGGCATACTATATATAGGTCAGATATGCATATAATTTTTGTTTCTTTTTATTTTGACTATTTATTTATTTATATATTTATAAATGCACTTTTTTTTTTTTTCATTCTATTGACAATGACTAATGTAGATGTGAGTTCAAGTTTTATATAACACTTTATTCGTCAGTGGTCCCTTCGTATCGTTTTAGTCGGTCATGGTGGACAACTTTCGGTTTCGAACGTTTGTTTAATTGTATGCGGTACACTACATCATTTATTTTCTTTAAGATAACATATGGGCCTGTCCAACGTTTCGAAAGTTTCGCACTTAAACCGGGCTTAACTTGCGGATTATATAACCACACGAGGTCACCTTCGTTATATGACCAATATTTTAATCTTTTATCGTAAATTCGTTTTTGAGAATCACTAGCGATTGAAATATGTTTTCGCGCAAGATTATGTACAGCTTCAAGTTTTTCGGAAAGCATTATGGCATAATCGGTTTTGTTATGACTTGTAAGCGTAGAAGGGCGTCCTAGTGCTAAATCAATTGGTAAGTCTAATTCCCTTCCAAGCATTAACATACTAGGAGTAAAGCCAGTAGTTTCCTGTACTGCTGAATTATATGCCATACACAAAATTGGCAAATAGGCATCCCAATTCTTCTGATTTTCATCAACAAACTTTGTTAACATAGCTTTAATTGTTCTTTGTCCTCTTTCTACGAGACCGTCCGACTGCGGCCTAAATGCTGTAGTACGTGTTTTCTCTGATCCGAGAATTTTACACATTTCCTGGAACAAGGAAGATTCAAAGTTTCTACCTTGATCAGAATGAATTTGTTTTGGAACTCCAAACACAGAAACAAATTTTTCTATAAATTTGTTTGCTACTGTGACTGCCTCTTGATTTTTAATAGGGATTGCTACAATCCATTTTGTAAAGTAATCTACTATCGTCAAAACGTATTTGTTGCCATCATTGCTTCTTGGTAGAGGTCCCATTATATCTAAAGCTATTCTTTCTAATGGGGCACCTACATTATATTGTTTTAAAGCGGCTTTTGCCTTTCTCTGAGGGTGTTTCTGTGATGCACACACATCACAAGTTTTACACCAACGCTTTATATCATTTGTTAGTCCATACCAAAAGAATCTTTGTTTCACTTTAAACTTTGTTTTTCTAACTCCCAAATGACCACCTGTGGGACTATTATGTAATTCTTTTAGAACATCAGGTACTAAAGTCTTTGGTATCACAATAAGATAGTCAGAAGTGATCCCATCATCACTCTCCCAGCGATGGTACAACACTTCGTCAATTATAAATAAAGACTCTATTCTATTCCAATAGAATTTGAGTTCGATACAACTAGGTGCGACATCTGACCATTCTGGTTTTTCATTTGTGTCTACCCAGTGTTTAACTGTTCTTATAACAGTGTCACTATTTTGTTTTTCTCGAATAATGTTCTTATTCAGGGTGGCTACAGCTTCTCTTACCGGTATATTTTCAAAGCATAAAGTATTCTTACATATGTTAGCATTATTTTCAGCTTTGCCATATGTTTCGTCTAGAATACCTTTTCGACCATTCATCTCTATATCATTACGACTCCCTAACTCTTCAGAGGTTTCGTTCTTATCAGTATGAGTTTCAATGACCTGCATATGTAAACCCTCATTGATTTCGTCAAGAACTTCATTATCTCTGAGCGCTTCCGTGTCAGCTGCTGTTGCTTTAGAGATATTCTTTGCGCGCTTAGATGCATCTCCAAAGTCGTTTAAGCAACCGTCACCATTACTTATACAACAATCTATCCTTTTCAAATTTGAGTTCTGACAAACGTTAACTTCATATGTTAATAACTTGTTTGTCCCCTCTACTAACGTTCTTGGGCTATCTTTAATACAGCTCTCATCTAGATTTAATTCATCTTTGAACTTTGCATACCTAGTCTCAGCTCTATCACAGTAGCTGCACCCATCTTTACTACATGGCCGTCGTGACAATGCATCTGCATTTGAATGTATACGACCGGCCCTATGCTTTATTTCAAAGTCATAAATAGACAATGTTTCTAGCCATCGGGCAACCTGCCCTTCTGGTTGTTTAAAGTTGGTAAGCCATTTCAAGGCACCATGGTCGCTTCTTACAATAAAATGGCGACCAAACAGATAATGATGATAATGTTTCACAGAGCAAATAACAGCAAGAAGTTCTCGCCGAGTTACACAGTAACGCCTTTCTTCTTTTGAAAGACATTTACTAAAGTAAGATATAACCTTTTCTTCAGCTCCTTGTACCTGTTGCAGCACAGAACCAACTCCAACAGCACTTGCATCTGTATCTAATATGAATATACCTTCAGAAATAGGATAGGACAATATCGGTGCATGGGTCAATGCATTTTTCAATTGTTCAAAAGCATTTTCACATGAATCGGACCAAATAAAATGTTCACCTTTTTCAGTTAATTTATGTAAAGGTTTTGCAATTGAGGAGAAACCTTTAACAAATTTACGGTAATAGGAGCAAAGTCCCAAGAAACTTCTTATCTCGCGAACTTTTCGTGGTGTTCTCCAATTTCTTACTTCTTCAATTTTTCTTGGATCTGTTGCCACACCATCACTACTAATCACATGACCAAGAAAATTTACTTGTTTTTGGAACAAAACACACTTTTCAGGACTAAGTTTAAGGTTAGCTTCACTCATTCTACCAAATATCTCATCAAGACTTGTCAAATGATCTTCAAATGTTTTGGAATAAGCTATGATATCATCTAGGTAAACTAAACATTGCTTCCAAGTGAGCCCAGCTAAAACTCGTTCCATCAATCTTTCAAAAGTAGCCGGTGCATTGCATAGACCAAATGGCATAACGGTAAACTGCCATAAACCAAACCCTTGTACTGAGAATGCTGTCTTATGTTTATCTTTTTCAGACATGCCAACTTGCCAGAAGCCTGATTTGCAGTCTAGAGTACTGAACCATGCCGATCCAGATAATGCATCAAGTGTATCGTCTATCCTTGGCAACGGTTGACTGTCTTTCACAGTGCATTCATTAAGTCTACGAAAGTCACAACAAAACCGGATATTACCATTTGGTTTGGTAACCATTACCACAGGACTACTCCATGGACTAACTGATGGTTCAATAATACCCTTTTTAGCCATATCATTGACTTCCTGTTCGGCTGCAAGTCGTTTTGCTAATGGTACTCTATATGGAGCTTGTTTAACAGGTCGGGCTTGTCCTGTTTCTATATTATGTTCTACTATATGTGTTCTACCAATGTCACCAGAATCTCTAGAAAATATATTCTGATGTTTTATCAATAATTTTCTCACTTTTTCACTTTGATCCTTTGTTAAATGTTCCGTGGCCTTCTTAAAAGTATCATTTAAATGATCAGGTATATCAGTAGGTTTGTCACTTGAAGCAGTTCCAACTGTTTCAACGTGCACAATATCTGGGGGGCTTACTGCTTCATAAAAAGCAACAACTGTGTTCTTATACACAGTGCATGGTCTTGTGTCTATATTTGCAACTCTAATAGGAATATCTCCATTTTCAATATCAATTAGTGATTTTGCTATTAGCAGACCACTCCTTTCAGAAAACTGTTCATTTGGTTCTATAATACCAATAGTGTCATTAATTACTTCAGCAGGTTTACCAAATAAAATCACTTCTGTTTCAGGGGGTATAACAGTGTTTTGTTTAGCTTGTATTCGACAAGAAGTTAAGAAAGAATTCTCATCTCGATGAAAACATGATACATTTTCACCATTAAGATTTACAGTATTTTTACCTACATCTATGCGACACTGATTAGATTTGAAAAAGTCCATCCCCAAAATACCATCACTCTTAATATCAGCAAGAAAGATTGGGTGGTTAAAATTCTGAGAACCAACCGATAATTTTGTACAGATTTTACCATAAAACGGAGCTGTATCACCTGTAGCAGTAGTCATGGTCATATTAACTGGTATAATTTCCGGTTTATTTATTAAAGGCAACTTATCATATAAATCTTTCCGTAAAATTGAAACATTCGAACCGGTATCAATTAACATAGAAACTTTAGTGTTGCAAATTTTCACTATTATGAAAAATCCATCATCTTTTGTCATAACTTTACTATTATCTATTGAAATCGGGTCGGACCTTTCTGTGCTTGGTCTCGAACTTCGGCCCTCAAATTCGATCCGTTTTCGTTTCCCGGGGCATAACTTTGTGGATAAGTTTGATTTTTGTCTCTTCTGTTTTGCTCATACTTATTACGACCTTGGTGATTATTTGACCAATGACCCCTGTTATCATGTCTAGAGCTTTGTATGTTTGGTTTGTAAGATCTCTGGTTTTGTGTTCGAGTTTCACCTTTGTCACGGTAATCACGAACCTGATTCATCAAGGCTTTCATCTGATAATTTAAATCATTTAATTTTCTATCAGTAGAACTTATTTCAGGAGCTACATGTCTGACATGGTTCCTCCCCCCTCTACTTTTATCTGCTTCTTTGTGTGCGTCTAACCTAACGGCTATTCTTTCAGCTTCACTAATGGTTTTTGGTCCTACTTCCCTTAATCTTAACCGAATGTCGGTATCCGGCAAAGCATCAACAAAATAATCTAATGCCAACAAATCAACAACTTCTGACGAAGCACTAGGATACGCCTTTCTCGTTAGTTTTTTAACTGATTGTGCTAATTCAGGAATAGTTTCATTTCTTCCTAATATTCTGCTTTGTAGTCGAGATCTAAATATCTCCGCCTTATAAATAGAACCGTAACGATTTTGTAAAGCAGAAACGATTGAATCGAAATCACGCCGTTTTTCTATGTCTAACTCGCATAAAATAGCACGTGCACCCCCTACTATACTACTTGCCAAAAATAATGACTTAGTATGGTAATTCCATTTATTAAGTTCCGCAACAATATTGAATTGCGCTAAATATTCATCAAGGTCATCTGAACCATCATAAGTCTGTGGCTTCATTTTACTATTACCTTGCGTATTTACAGGATATTGTCTGGAATAATCGCCCGTGTTACTATTTTTCTTACCAAACGGCGTAATCTGAGTCACAGAATTAGGACCATTATTATTGGTATCGTCATTATCAGGAGTACTGCTTATTGGACCATTTTCGAGACATAAATCACGTGAACTCACATCTTTATTATGCATGTCATCATATAAATTTGTTTTATTGCACGATTTAGCATGGACATTATCAATCTGCGTTTGCATATGGTCTAATTTACTTTCAAAATCAATTAAAGATTTTCTCACTTCTAACTGTACAGAATGCAAACCTTTTTGTAACTGACTATTAAAATTGTTAACTAACTTTTCAAGAGAATTTTCCTCATTATCTCCATCTCCTGCGCTAATACTACCACCGCACGGACTACACGGATTTTCGTCAATCGATTCATTATCACTCGGTAACGATTCACAGTCAACATCTTTTGATAAGCACAAATTCTCATTTTGTTTAAATGTTATAATGTCTGAGTCTTCCATTATAATAGATATTTATATTCACCACCGGTACCAGGTTTATGATAGCAATATAATTATAAATAAATACAAATGCACTTTGATAATAACACAATAGATTGCTATCCCACCGCTGCCACCAAATTTGTAACGAACCCCTTCTTCGAGCGTTGGCCTGTTAACTCTAAAAGGGGTGTTACGTGAGTTCGCCTGGGCCCGGCTTGTGGCGAAAATAATAGAGAATGATTAAAGAATAAAATAACGGAGGCAATTTAAGATTTAAACTATAACTTTATTAACGGTTACATAAAATAGTCACATATAACAACATTCATCAATCAGACATAAATACAGTAACAATAAATATATTATAACGTTATTTAATCTGCATCAATAATACCAATTCACAATGCAAAACGTTATATACTGTGCACCACGGTTTTAAGAAATAAAATACACTAATAATAATGTTCACAATTTCACTACACTCGCGAAATCACTAAATTACGCACTTTAATAAATAATCTTTATTTAGAGAATATACACGTAACACTAATCACTTTTCCGTTATTATTAACACTATTCGGGTATCACGATACCAATATCATCAAATGTATATTATTGCCGTTTATCAATCATCTTTGACTCGATAACGTGTTCGCTACCAAATTATACCAATTGGTATTTGGTATTAATGTTTATAATTATAACACTGACGTTCAAATTAATTATAGGATTATTTAAAATACATGTATAAAGATTTGCATCATCACCACTACGAATTTAAGTTTTAGGTAGAGCTAGCACACAAAATCCAAGTAAAACCTCTGTTGGCATCAACTGGTATCGATACCAGATAAAATTATACCAATATTGGTATTCTATCAAATATTCACAAATATGTTCTTAATATAATTTAATATAATTCATATAGACTCTATATATGTTGGTATATACCATACACACTTTGTTTTAATAATTCATAAATATTTCACAAATATACCAACAAATATTATAGCACAACCGCGTATTGGTATTCGATACCAGTTGGTATTTGGTATCGCGCGATTAAAATACACAGGAGATGGAGACAAGGGAAACACTTTATTTAATAAAACTTGGTTGGTATAACTTTACCTCTTCATCGCACATATTTTATAAATTGGTATATACCCGTTGGTATATTTTTATTTAACCCAGAGTGACCGTATGAATGCCGTCCATGTTCGACATTGTCTTGAATTTCGCGCCAGCTGCGCTTTTATATGACCTGTGACGTCATTGCTCGAGATTTAGTGGCGCGAGCTAATGGCGGTTCTGAACACGGAAGTAAATTAAAAATACACATTCTTTTGATGATTTCATGCAATATTTACTTTTATAAACACAGTTTGCTGCACAAACAGTAAGTTCTTCAACTTTATTTCCCGTATATATGAATATTTAAGAGTTTAAAACGGTTTAGTGGAAGTAATCAGCATATTACAGAGGACTCAACATTGCCGATTTTGAACACAAAATTTCCATGAATACTCCGATAAAATATCGCGGTGCACAGTAAAACATTAATCTGAAAATGAACATACATATCATACATAGACAACAAAATGTGATTTATTATCTAAAATAAACAAATATCAACAATAGGATGATTTAGCACATTTAATAATCTGCTTTATAAAAATAGTGGGTGGAGTAACGAACAAATGAAATGATAAACAAGGTTCAAGGCATTTTGGGATTATAAGAGCTACTGAATATCAGTTCGTTACATATGAAATACATTTGTCAATAAATAAAGTCTGTAAAAGTGTAGAAATCTATTTTTAGAACTTGCGACCTTGACCCAACAGAACCCTTACTCCATCCAAAGGAGAAGACTTCAATTTTATGTTCCTACAAATATAAAAGTCATCTCTCAAAAGAATAATGTTAATGCACCTGTAAAAATATGACAATCTATTTTTGGCATTGGTGACTTTGGCCTTGACCCACAGGACCCCTAACTAAACCCAAAGGAAGAGGACCTCCCTTGGCATGATTGTATTAAACATGTAATACATTAAATTATAGAAAGAGCATCGAAACACGAGGCTATCTGATTGTACGAGGGGGCGTAGCCCCCGAGTATAAATCAGATTGCCGAGTGTTTTGATTTTCTTTCTCTTTTGTATCATAATCAAACATAAAAACACGTTCCCTGATACCACAAAATGAAACCCCACAAAAGAAGTAACCAATGAACGAGCATCTGAATATGATATTTCCATCGCTATCCCTTTCTCTGTTGTCACAATACGTAAACCCCGGACAAAATGAACTAATCAATGGGCATGCTCTGGAGTATGGGCAACTAATACCTGCACTCCAGTTAACGCACTGTCATGTATGTGTATACGATTTAACTCTGTCACAATTTCAACAGCAATGTCCCCAAACTATGATACAACTTAACAATAAAGGCTTAATGAGCGAAAATGTTATAAAAATTTTCACACCAGTGACCTTGACACTAGAGACCCCTTACTCCACAATAAATACACGGCCATTAAAGGTATTAGGTTAACCATACAAGGTCCTATTTTCAAAGTGAAAAAAGGAATATAACTTGGGAAAATGAATGTCAGAGTTATATAACTTGGCAATATCATGAACTTTCACTAAATAAGTAAATGTGGAAATTATGAAGCCATAAGTATAGACAGTACTTTAAAAAAATCCATCTTGCCGGTTTTGGTTCACGATATTCATTATCAAACTTCTGAAAATGACAATAATTTGATAAAAAGTTATGCAATAATTATGTAACTTGCCAGGATCAAGTATATTGTATTGATAAATAAATGTGTAAAGTATGAAGCCATTTGTACGAGTAGATTTTAGGAAAAATCCAACATGCCATTTTATTATTTTGATCGTTCCATTTTTTTTAACATGACACCAATTTTAGGCTGCCAGGCTCCTAGACTGCCAGCTTTAGGTTATTAGACTGCAAAGTTAAGAGCCCTAAAGGTAAAGGCGTTTTTCCATAATCATGTACATGTATTTGTATGTGCTTTTGCAAGACCTTTCATAGTGATTTTACTGTATTTCAAATTGTTTCCATATTTATAATATAAGTCACTAACTTTAAGCTACTAGGCTGCCGACTTTAGGCTGTTAGATTGCCAACTTCAGGTTGCAAAGCTGACATCGATAGGCTGTGAAGATGTTAGGTTGCCTCCTCATGATGCTAGGCTGCCAACGTTAGGCTTCCAGGGCGTTTGTTAGGCAAACTCCTAAGGTCGTCAGCAATTTAAGTTTCCTCTTCCGACTGCGAGACAATTTGCCTCCTCAGTCAACAAGGCCATCAAACTGCCACCTCAGGCAGCCAGACCGTTAGGCTGTCTCTTCTACCAATTTTACAGACATGATTATACAAAACTATTTACAGAACAATGCCAATTTTGCAGTTTCATACAAAAA